CGGGAGAGTGCGTTGTGAAAATCTCCAGGATCGCTTTCTTCTAGCAGGGCGGTGTTGCCTCGCGCACCGCCGCCTTCCAGAGAGCGCCTGCCAGGTAGGCCGTCCCGGCGCACAGGCGTGCGCTGCGACGCGCTGAGTGGCCTACCTCGCCGGCGTTGGAGCACCGCACCGCGGCCGTCGAGTGGTGCCAGGCTCAACTGCAGGCACTGACTGTGGCCGACCTTTCGCAAGTAAGTCTACATTCATTTCAGTACTACGCATTTGGTTCACCCTTAGACCCACAGATCAATATTTTGCACTCAACAATTACACTTTTAAAACTTTATCTAATTAGGTAACCGTTTTTATAGTTTTGAACTTAAATTCCATATGAGAAAAGTTAATGAAATAGCTACTACACTGACAATACTGGTCTTAGACTATCCCTTTCCCCAAATTGAGGCTCACGAATCGAGTAACGGTTTCAGCACTCTAAATGTCGAGGGATACTAACTACTTTAAAGTAGCACAGGATTTAGGTGTTAGTGTTAGGAGTTCAAAGGCAATATTGCTGCTAGCTTGTTACACAATTTTATTGTTTGGTTACAATATGGTGCATTTCTGAACTAAGTAATGCACACGAGAAGTCCGGGGCTAGTTAAAAATTTTATTCGTGTTCTAAAATAATGCCCACGAACTTTAGCTGCAAGAGAGTAAACGCGGCGTAACAGTTCGGCGTACGAAATATAAAAGCCAGATGGATTATCGCATCCGATTGCATTGTATTTCGCACAGTGTTGCCCGGTCGGGGCGGGCGGGCGTGACAAGAGCCGGAGCGGCGGGATCAAGCGCTCTGGCCGCGGCTCTGTGCCGGGCCCGGGCCGCCTCCCGCCCGCCCCTCGGCCCCCACTCGGACTCGCGCCGCCGCCGCTGAGAGGGTGCGGTGAGAGAGGTCCAGGGGATTCGGCATCCGTTCCATAAACAACAAACGTGTCGTGTACACGGGCGTGAGCCTCCTGCTGCGGAAATAAAGTAATGCGAGTGGATCTCTCTTTATCTCGCTCTCTCGCTCCCGCCGTGTGGCGCCAACATAAACACAGCACACGGTCCGGTCGGGTCCGGTCAGGTGAGGAGGGGAATCAATAACGGCCACTCTCCGTGCGGAGCCAGGGCCAGGCGACAAGGTGGCTCCGCACGCCGGCCAATCGGGCCGTGTTTTTGTTCCACCAGACGAGGCAAATAAAAAAGAGAAAAGGCAACCGGTCACCAAAAAATAAAAAAAGAGAGTAGGGGCTGGTTGCTGGGTCCAAGGAGTGAGCCAAGACGTCTGTATTTCCACGGAGACCCTTCTCTCCTCTTTCGGTCCCCTTTTTCCCCTGGTTGCGCGGGAGGGGATTCACAAACACGCTGACTTCCGTTTACATTTCATCACAACGGCTGGCCCCGGACCGCCCCGCCCCACCCCGCGTTCCGTCCCGCCGGGGATGGCCGCTGGTAGCTTTTCGGTCGGCCGTTAGCACCGCATTTCACTTGTAGATTTAACGAGCTTCACGCAGCTCTAGAGTAGCCCTACTTTACTTAAACTTTGCGGATTTAGCTTCGGACATCTGCGCCCGTCCGTCCCAGCAGCAGCGCTGGGGGCCGGCCCGCCGGCCCCAGCGACCTCGCGGCGCACGCGCGGACGAAAAGTAGATTGGCAAATAAGAATAAAGGAGGAGTGGGCTGCTCGGCAAAAGAACTAAGACATGAAAATCCATGTAAATACCGCCGACGCCCGTCAAGCAGCGACGCCTTCTCTCCTCGTCTCTCTTTCTTTCGGTGCCGAACGACAGCTCAGAGCACTAAAGCCGAGGCGAAGGGTCGTCAACATCTATTGGTCGTGTACGAAAGGACTATAACATATTGCTGGTGATATAAGTAATACTAGAGTAATATTGAAGTAATATTTAGGTAATATAACTGTAATACTTAATATTGCAGTAATATCGCCAAAAATATGAGTAATATCGATATGAAATATCATGGTAATGAGTGTAATATTATTGAGGTACTCGGTAAAAACAATTCTTTGATGTTCAAGGACCAAGACACCCATTCAAGACAAGAACGGGGGTAGGGAAAAACATATGGAACGTCCTTGAATGGGTGTCTTGGTCATTGGATATCAAGGAGCGAGCTTTACCGTGTAATATCGGTTGAATATCAGCCCAGTGTACGAAGATATCCCTGAGTTGAGCACCCCTTCCAGCTCCAGCCGGCGGCCTGCTCATCACATCAGCGGGACTGGGCTGCTCGTTACCCCCGCTCCGCTAGCGCGCCGATACACTACGAGCATAAAGCCGAGCAGCGCGGTGTGCGTGCCACTCTATTATTGGACGGCGCCGAACAACCAGTTCGCTCCCCTGCGCCATGTTGCTGCGCACTACGAGGGGGAGGGAAAAGAGAGAGGGGGGGGATAGGGGGCTTTTTACTATGCACTGTGAAAAATATCTTCGTCAATTTACAACTTGTTTTGTAATTTTTGAATATCAAAATTATTTTGAATATCAAAATTATTTTTTAATTTACGACAGCTCCCTTGCTTGCCATCAATAAATTTTAAGTATCGGGCAAAATACTTGTAATTTTACAATTTTAAATTGTAATTTTTTAACAGGCACCAAGGAAATTTTTTCTGCAACCATAACAAGGTTTTACTCACGGTGTTGGAAAGTACCTTCGTTTCCACCGACACCGCAGGAGGTTCCGTTGCGGAAGCCTTCGCTCACCTGCAAACAAAGAAATAAAATATGCCATTAGTGTTACGAAACTTGCAAACATAAAACGCCTTTGCTGAATCTTTTCGCAATACTCTTGCATGCAAAAGTGCACTCTAAGAAGTTGAAAAGCATTGATTTGCAACCTGTCAAATGAAACGGATGAGCCGTAGCCTTTCTCATTAAAATAAAGTAGTGTTTCGCGATGCTTCCATTTCATTTGTAAAACAAAACAACGGCCTCGCGTAGACGTTTCCTAGAAGCTCGCAGACAGCACGTGGATGGCGAATATCGCAACCGCTGCGGAAGGCAATCGCTCCACATAGCTCTCTGCGGCAGAGCGGAGCGTGTTGATTCAGTATATTTCCACCCGCAGTAATGCATATGGACCGAGCGGGAGAGAGAATGAAAGAGGGCTGATGTGAGAGATGTGAGTGAATGCGAGAGAGAGAGAGAGAGAGAGAGAGAGAGTGTGTTGAGGGGGATTTGACAGGCAGAAAACACTCTGCACAATCATAGAAAAGAACGAGGGGGAGGGGGGATGAAAAGTGCTAGTCGTGTCGAATCAGACCACAACCAATGCAATAAAATGTGAAAAGAAGCGTGGAAACACAAACAGGAAAGGGTATAAAAATCAAGCAGGGCAATCAGTGAGTGCGGTAATGCGACGCCATCAGATGCCCCCGACAGCGAACAGCCAAAGAGCCCCGAAATCCGATACTAGTCGGAATTACGACCCCTTCTTTCATTAACATGGCCAGTGTGACACTGCGGACAGCACACCAATTTGCTAGGCGCGTATGTGTGCATGCGCATGTGTGTGCGAGAGTGTGGGAGGGTGTGAGGGGGGAAGAGGGAAGGACGATTAGAGAAAGTGCGTTGTCGAAACGAGACACACGAGACAGCACGAACTCGTCCAGGGTCATCAAACAACGAACGAAAGGGCGTGCTCTACGAGCAGTTGAGGAAGTGGGTTCCCCCTATTTCCACTTCCGCCTAAGCTCGCTCGCGCTCTCTCTCTCTCTCTCTCTCACTTGCGCGCAGAACTTGCGTTCCGGAAAACTCGGCTACACCTCACACATATCAGTCTTCTCGGCAAACAGGATCAATTTTTCAGGGCGACTCATGGCATGTCTTTTCCACCCTTGCCTCGCCCTTGCCCACAGGCAGGCGGACGCGCGCGGCCCCACACACACACAGGCGCGAGCGAGCATACAGGGCATACAACACACAGTGAATGCGACACAACTCACATGTAGCACGTCCGGTCTCGCTGCCGCAAAGCATGCAGAACATGTCTCCATTCCGGCCGCAGGAATGCATACGCATACACACACACGCAAATATACACATACACACACACACATACATATACATACGCACACATACACGCGCGCGCGTGTCGTAACAATTACACATACACACATCGACGCTGCCCGTATTCCGTATTTACGGGTCTCCTCGGGATCCCTCGGCGGCCGCGTTACACGGCCGCGATAAGCGCGTGTCGTGCGCACACTCTCGACAGGCGGGCAGACGGAGGGAGAGAGAGGGAGAGAGAGGGAGAGAGAGGGAGAGAGAGAGAGAGAGATGGGGCAGGCAAAGCACCGATACAGGTGTTTGGGTGTTTTGTACGCATTCAGCCTCTGGGGTGAAAATGGAGTTGATAAGGATAAAACAACAGAGGGAACAAAACTCATTTTACCCCTTTTTTTTCGCTTGACCAACACGAGACAAAAACAACAACCCCCCAAAACGACCCGCGCGCTTCAAACGTGTTTACGTTTGCGAGGCTTTTGTCCGTCGAACACTTTACTTATTACGCGCCGCGGCTGAAGAAAATACAGGATGCAGGCCTGGCACGCGCGCGCTGAACTTTCCAGGAAAAAGCTGCTTACTCGGTATTGTTTCGTCCGTCCGCTCGCTCAGGCCCCGGGCCGCCAGGCAGGGCCGGAGCAGCAGCAACCCTTGCGCTGGGGCCACCCGCCCCGCCGCTCCTGCGATGTTGGTCCTGACAGCGACGGCTCACACTTTTCCGGCCTCTTTCCCTTCCGACAGCCCCTCCTCCTCGCCGTCCCCCCTCCCCC